TAGGTTTTGAATCCAGAATCTTTGATTCTAAATCTTGCACTTTTTCTGCTATTGGTAAGCATTGCCTTTAAAAAAAATCTCTTTTCTCCCTCTCTCTCTTTCTCTCTCTCTTTTTTTTTTTGGTGAGGCAGTTGGGGTTAAGTGACTTGCCCAGGGTCACACAGCTAGTAAGTGTCAAGTATCTGAGGTCACATTTGAACTTAGGTCCTTCTGACTCCAAGGCTGGAGCTCTATCCACTGCACCACCTAGCTGCCCCTAAAAAAAAAAAAACAACTCGGTCCTTACTGTTCTGATTATTTGAAGTGTCAATCTGCTGTGACTTTTTTTTTTTTAAAGGTCTTTGAGTCTGTGGACCCATACTAATTTGAATGGACTGTGAAATACTGTGTATTTTAGTAGAGGCTGTGTGACACTTGAGCACTTAAAATATAAATGTGGATTTTTCCTCCAAAAATGGAGCCCTGACATATACTTGTGTCATCTGGGAAGATGGCTTTTTGGGCCCTTAAGTTGTTCATCTTTGTATACCATAGTGCTTTGCAAATAATGATTCACTCAATGTAGATATAGTAAGTATTTTAAAATTCATTTTGAATTAGTAATTGTTATGTTACATTTACAAAATATGATAGTACTTAATTTGTGCTCCTAGCTTTAAATCATTGACACTACAGTTAACTAGAATTTCTGCTTGCATATATGATTTCAGCTGTGGATAAGTTTTACTTTATATCTAAGAATATCTAGATTTCTTCCCTTTAATTTGCCACGTTCTGACATGAGTATTATAAATGCCATTGCCTCTGTGGTGAAAGCAATATCTACTCAAATGAACCCAGTGGAACAAAATTTGGATTTGGAAGACCTGACTTATTCAGTCACAGCTCTGTTACAACTAGCTGTGTGACCTTAGACAAGTCAGTGTTCCTCTCTGGGACTCATTATTCTTTATCTTTAAAGGGGGTTAGGTTGGTCAAAGTTTCTAAGGTTCATTCTAGATCATTCTAGTTCTCAGTATTACATGATTCTGTGATAGCTAGTCAAGCAGTATTAGAAATGTAGGATTCTGGCAAGATTCTCAAGGGAAATAATGGAAAGGAAAAAAAAGAAGGAAGGAATGGGGCCCAGCAATAACATTGCAAACTAAAGCAGTAATCATCAAAGCTATTTGGTGATAGTTGTTCAGTCATTTCAGTTGTCTGACATTTCATGACCCCATTTAGGGTTTTCTTGGCAAAGATACTGGAATGGTTTACCATTTTCTTCTCTAGTTCATTTTACAGATGAGGTAAGTGAAGCAAATAGTAGGGTTAAGCGACTTGCCCACGGTCACACAGCAAGTAAGTGTCTGAGGCTGGATGTGGGCTCAGGTATTCATAACTGCAGGCCTGTGCCACCTAGCTGCCCTTTACTATTTGGTACTGGTTAAAAAAGAGAAAGGTCAGTTTGAACAGATTGGGTACTCATATACAAACAAAGGAATATATTAACACAGTTTAATAAACTCAAGGATCTTAACTACTGGGGTTAAAACTTAATATTTGACAAAAACTACTGGGAAAACTGGAAAGTAGTCTGGCAGAAATTGGGTATAGATCAACATTTTATAAGCTCCAAATGGCTACATTATCTCATAATGAAATGTCATGTCGTAAAAATGCCTCTCTCAGCTATGGGTAGGAGAAGAGTTTATGATGAGACAAAGAATAGAGAAGATTGCAGAACATAAAATGAACAATTTTGATTATATAAAATGAAGTTTTTGTACAAACAAAACTAATATAGTTAAAATTGGAAAGACAACAAAAATTTAAAGTAGGGAAGGAAGGGGAAGCTTTACTTTATCAGGAAGTTATCCTAATAAAGGTTTGACAGCCAAGATACATGAGGAACTATTTAAAACATTTAAGAATGACAGCCATTCCTTAATGCAAGGTTTGGGAAACTATAAAGGGCCAGATAGTAAATATTTTAGGCTTGTGGGTCAAATTTCCACAAATTTCTGACGCAGCCTTTGCCCCTCATCAGACTTCTTTCAGAGCACTGAAAGCTAGTAGGACTCAGGCCTGAGCTATCTCTGAGATCCTAGAATAACTCACTATTCAATACTCAAGAAAGCAGTAGCATGACAAGTCCAGGCATTTTTTCTGGATGTTTGAAGGGCAAGGCCCTAAGATTCCAAATATAATAATACTGATTGAATAGCGTATTTTGTAATACTGGTCTATTAATAGCAACAGTGGACTTCTGTTGGGGGAAATAACATTTTGCTTAATTGGGCTTCAAAGTTAATGTTCTTCAAATAATGGCAGGTCTAAATAATTGGAAAAATTGGTTGTCTATTGGTAGGACAAAACAATATGATAAAAATGACAGTGCTATCTAAATTAATTTACTTGATTAGTGTCATAACAATCAAACTATCAAAATATTCCTTTATAGAGCTAGAAAAATAATAACAATTTATTTGGAGGAACAAAAAAAATCAAGAATATTAAGGGAATTAATAAAAAAAATGGAAAGGGAGGAAGGAAGACTGGCAGTACCAACTCCAGCCAAGAGGAGGCCAGTGTTATGCAGCGTGCAGGAATAGATACTAACTGGCAGCTCCATTGCTCAGTATTCAGTTCTGAGTCACAGCTTGAAGACTGACTGATAAGGGGACCTATGCCTAGAGAGTGTTCCAGTGTGAAGAGTGGTAACAGCCCTTAGCTGTATATTGAATAAGAAATAAAGTTCAGAAGCAAGTAGCAGTCTGTGGTTCTGATTATAGGGATAGAGTGGAATCCCAGTCTCAAGGCTACAACGGAATAAATAACTTGGGCAGGAATCCCAGGGCAAAGGGGATCCTACAGTTGTATCACTCTCAACCAGTAGAGCTTTCAGGCTGGTTGATAGTGGCTGAGTCCAGCAGCAGTCTACTGGAACTTCAGCTGGAGGTTAGCCCACACTTATGTTGCTCAGACCCAAACCTAGGTCAGAAATTTACAAAGATCAGTTCAGGAGGGTAGAAATCAGCCTTTGCTTTTTATCAAAAACTGCTTTTAGAGTACTGAAAGCTTGTAGGACCCAAGCCTGAGCTGTCCCTAAAATCCTAGAATAATTCAACCTTCAGTATCTCAAGAAACAAGCAGTAGGACCAAGCCTAGACATTCCTTTCAGATAATTGAAGAGCCTGGCCCTAAAATTCAGAATTCAGCAAACAGGATGGAAGAATGGGCCAAATATAAAAAGAATCCCACCACTAAAACTCATTATGGTGACAAGGATATTCAAGACAGTCTCAGAGGAGAGTGATTCCATAACATCCAGAAGCATTGTTTCATTTCAGTCAAAATAAAAATACTGCAATCAGCCATAAAGAATTCAAGTACCAAGGAGCCAGGACCATGCTTGATTTAGCCGCCATAAAGGAGTGGAGAACTTGGAATATGGTATTATAGAAATTAAAAGATAATAGGCATGAGAGCAAGAATAACTTACCTAAAAACACTTGAGGTTAGTTCTATAGGGGCAAAATGGACATTAATGAAATAGAGGATTTATAAACACAGGAGTTAAGAAACAAACAAAAAAACCCATAAGCAAGTAAATTATAACGGACTAATAAACAAGGTTAAAATGTTTATTTTTGGGGGCAGCTAGGTGGTGCAGTAGATAGAGCACCAGCCCTGGAGTCAGGAGGACCTGAGTTCAATACTTACTAGCTGTGTGACCTTGGGCAAGTCACTTAACCCATTTCCTAGCCAAAAGGAAAAAAAGAAGTTTATGTTTTTTAATACTGGGAGGTGATATACATGTCCCCTCAAATTCTCATCAGGGGCTGTAGAGGGAGTCATACAGAGGACCTGAGAGTGGTTCTGTTACATTTTGTTGATCTTAATAAAAGAAGAATGTAAAGGTAGGGCAAAAGGAATATACTATGGGGATAAGGGGAGAGGAAGAATAGGGGAAATTATCTTACACAATTGGGGTACATAAGTAGAAGTCTACAAACAAAGTCAGGGGAGCAGTTATTACTTGAAGCTCACTCATCTAAACTGGTCAAAGGAAGAAAAAACAGTTATGTGTAAAAATTTTTTACTTAACAAGGAAAAAAGGGAGAAGGGGAAATAAAAGGAGGATAGGAAATAAAGGGAGGGAGTAGTAATCTTAAGCCAAACAAACTCTTAAGGATGTACAAGAATATAGCAGCGTTTTTGTTGTTGACAAAGTTTTAAACTGAGGGAGGAATGGCTGAACAAATTATATAAATGTGATATAATACTATTTTGCTGTAAATAAGATGAAGGTAGTGGTTTTAGAGAAACCTGGGAAGACTTATATGGATTGATGTAGAGTGAGGTGAGCAAAACTGGAAAATGGTTTAAAATAGTGACAACAATACTGTAGAGACAAGCAACTTTGAAAGACTTAGAAATTTGGATCACTGGAATGGACATGTTCCAGAGGACCCATAATGATAAAACATACTCCTGATAAAGAGATAATGGATTCAGAATGCAGATTGAGATTTATTTTTGGACACAGCCAAAGCAGGAATTTATTTCACTTCACTATGTATATTTGCAACTTCATTTGGGGGAAGTGATGGTCTGAGGGTGAGGAAGATTTTTGTTTACTGAAAAAAATTTTAAATAACCTTTCATTGTGGGTAAAAAAAAAATCCTTCTATTCAGAGCCACAGTACTGCAGTTAGCAAATTCGTGTCATATATGCATAGGAATGTTTGAATGACTTGCCTATATTTTCCTAAGAATACAGTTCTTCTTTCCTTGCCATCCTATAGCTTCATTTCACAAATTCCATTTAAAACCTTGATTCAATCAAAATGGTTCTTTGCCTCTAAACTGCCTTCGATAAGTTTTTTTATGTAAAAAGTATCATCCTAATTATGAAGCATTTGTAATTGAAGGAGTGTTACAGAGCTAGGGATTTTTGCTATTAGCACTTGCTGCACAGCTTTCTACCTGTTAAAATACTTATTTTCTCCATACAGGAATGCATACTTTCTGGGATCATGTCAGTAAATGGAAAGAAGGTCCTTCACATGGATAGAAACTCCTATTATGGAGGTGAAAGTGCATCCATTACACCACTGGAAGATGTAAGTTTTAGTTAATCATTCTTTTTTTTTTAATATAAATTTATTTATTTTTAGCTTTCAACATTCACTCCCACAAGTTTTTGAATTCCAAATTTATACCCCATCTCCCCCCTCCTCCCACCCCAAGATGGCATGTATTCTGAATATCCCTTCCCCTAGTCTGTCCTCTCTTCTATCTCTCTCCCTTCTCTTATCCCCTTTCCCTTCTATTTTCCTGTAGGGCAGGATAGACTTCTGTACCCCATTTCCTGCATTATTTCCCAGTAGCATGTGAAAACATTTTTTTTTAAACATATGTTTTTAAAACTAGGTTTCAGATTTTCTCTCTTCCTCCGTCCCCATCCACCCTCATTGAAAAAGGCAAGCAACTCAATGTAGGTTGTATATGTGCAGTTATGCAAAACACATCCATAGTAGACATGTTGTGAAAAACTAACTCTATTTCCCTTAATCCTATCCTGCCCTCCCATTTATTCTATTCTTTCTTTTGACCTTGTCCCTCCTCAGAAGTATTTACTTCTGATTACTCCCTTTCCCAGTCTGCCCTCCTCTCTATCATCCCCCTGCTCTCTTGTCCCCTTCTCCCCTTATTTTCCTGTAGGGTAAGACAGATTTCCGTACCCAATTGAATGTGTTTGTTATTCCCTCCTTAAGCCAAATCCTGTGAGAATAAGATTCACTCATTCTCTCTCACCTTCCCCTGTTTCCCCTCCACTGTAAGAGACTTTTCTTTTCTGTTTTTTTTATGAGATAGTTTACCCCATTCTACCTCTCCCTTTCTTCTTCTCTGAGTATAATCCTCTCTCATCCCTTAATTTTATTCCCCAGATATGACCCTTTAATCTTCAACTCACCCTGTGCCCTGTATCTATCTATCTACATATACATACGTATAATTTTTTTCCTCCAGCTACCCTAATAGTGACAAAGGTCTCAGTCATTCATTTTTCTGTTATCAAATGTCATTACTTAGGTGTTTAAGATGACCTCTTGTTATATAATATTGATATTTACATGGAGGTTATGTACATTTATATCCTTCCTGAACATCTTTGTTCTTCTGAACAAAAGTTTAGTACTGAAATGCTTACACTCTAATAGGCTGCTGTATCATGCACTTTTTTGTTATTATTTGGCCTATGATTTCATTGTTGTAAGGAAGTCCTGATATGGAAATTTCCTTTACCACTGCAAAATGGCAAGTGTTCCTCAAATACTCTTCAGGTACTGAGCAGGGTTAAATGACTTGATTCAGAGGTGTGTCTTGAACATATGTTCAACCTGATCCCAAAGTTGTCTGTCTACTAAACCATGCTCTGTCTTGTCATTTTTGTATTTTTAACAAACTTCTTATTTGTATTGGAATAGTAGAATTTTGGGATCTTTGCCACCATTTGTAGCTGATTTTTTATGACACTTAATAGATTGTGGACAAGAACCATTGGTCTGCTATTTTGGGACACCTTTCACATAAAAATTTGGAAACAACATGCCTAATTCAACATTAAATTTTCCTGTTAGTGGAAATTTTTTGTATGTGGTCATGCTTTAGAAAACTAAATGTTTAGTTTCGTGTCTATGAGTTTGATAAAGCTGAACAGTACTAAAAACAAATTAAGTTTCCTTTTCTAGAATAAGAAATAATGTACTCTTCTGTATTATCATAACAATTGAACTTATATTCTTGTGTATGATATTGAATATATTCTTGGAAACCTTAAACTGTTTTGACAGCTGAACAAATTAAATCTTGCTTTCAGTTTTTCTAACCTGTAGCTGCTGAAGCTAAAGCTTGCTCTTATAACTTGCTCAGGGAGAAAATGAGTTTTAGGTTATTTTTACAGAAAGAAGGGATGTTCCTGAAGGCAATACTGTAAATGCAGGCTGCTGGCAATATTTTTTCTTTACTTCTTTGTAAGTAGTCCTGTGTTTTTGCTACTGAAGTGACTGTCCAGTGAAATCGATTTAAATAGACACTGGAACTATTTTTTTATAATAAAGGAGATACTGTAATGGATTGCTCTTGGGCATTCTTATTAGATAGTCTAACCCATGTCACATATGACATAGACTTTGAGAACTGTGTTTTTGTGAGACTTCAGTTACTATATTTAGAGTAGTGGTATAAACAGTGCAGAAACTCTGATACATTTATCTTTCTTCAAATCTAACTTCACATTGAAGTATGTATTGAAATTCAAAGAAAAATATGCACTTAAATATGTATTACTTTCTTTTTAGTTATACAAGAGGTTTAATATACCAGGATCACCACCATCCTCAATGGGAAGGGGAAGAGACTGGAATGTGGACCTAATCCCCAAATTCCTTATGGCAAATGGTAAGGGAATACCAGTGATTTTGATTTTCTCTGTGTATCTTACATCCAATTTAGAAGTAGGAAAAAAAGGAGCCTCTGCCTACTGCTCCCTCGTGGAGAGCCAGGTGGAGCGACTATGAGGCTGCCCAACTTCCTGCTCATGGTTACACCAGGGTTTGGAAAGACCACACAAGTAAAGAACTTGCATCAAGAACAGGAGTGATGAAGGACAGTTATATGATGGCTTTGATGAAGAATATGAATGTCCCATTTTGGGTGAAGACAAAGTAGTTGATGAGTTAGAAAATAAAATGAAAGAAGGTGGAGTTATTGTTGATTACCATGGCTGTGACTTCTTCCCTGAATGATGGTTTCATATAGTTTTTGTGCTTCAAACAGATAATTCTGTATTATATACAAGACTTGAGAAGAGGGGATACAGTGTAAAGAAACTACAGGACAATATTCAGTGTGAAATTTTCCAAATTCTTTATGAAGAAGCTGTGGCCTTCTACAGCCATGAAATAGTATACCAGCTGCCCAGCAATGTACCAGAAGAACTAGAGAATAATTTAGATCAGATAAGGAAATGGATGGAGCAGTGGATAAAAGATAATAGTTGAACCTTGAAGGCAAAGCATTGGACTTTGAAGGTTTTCCACATGATGTCTAAAGGTTTTCTTGATGATTGCTCCTTCCCCGTGCAGTAGAAATTAAGACAACATACACCAAATTTTACTATCCAGGCTTGTGTTGTGGAAGTAGCAGGTGAACATTATATAAGGTTGAGTTATGACTAAATTAATTTTTTTTCTCCATGAGAAAACTGAAAACCCCCAAATACAATGAATAAGATATTAAGGACTTTTTAAGTTTAGGAATATTCACCATTCTCATTTATAAATAAGAATAAGCTAAAGAATAAACAAATTGGAGAAAATAGTGGAAATCTTTAATATTTAACACGAAAAAGAAAATAAAAGCTAGAAAGAACTGCTGACATAGAAATAAAAGTCTAAGGATTAAGCTATAAACATTACATTGGTGAATTGCTGGGTTTTTAAAAAAATCTTGGAAGTTGGTTATAAATTAGGATAGTCACAAAGTAAATGGTGAGATCTTTGAGAAAATAGCATTTTTTTTCTTTTTAGTAAAAGAATTCACTGAACTCTTTTGCCTGTAAAATCACTGCTGATCTTAGCAATGATACTTGTCTCTGTAGAAGAGTAAGCCAATCACATTTTCCATAAAAAAAAGGGCAATGGCAAAGTCTTCTGTGTACCTGTGGAAACTGTAAATATTAATTTATTGGTTGACTAATTTCAGTCTTGCTAAGTTTCATGAAAATTCATGTGGTAATGCTTTGCTGCCATATAGGTGGTGGTAATTATTAGATAAAGTTTATATATATATATATTTATAAAAAAAAGAAGGAAAAAAGGTTCTGATGATGACTAGCAATGGAAAACGTAAGTAGCAATACAATGTTCATTCTGCTTCTATTAGCAATACGTATTTAGGATAACGTTGATACTTATATAGCTTTTACATTTATATAGGGGTGATGTAGTCCAAAATCATAGTATTCCTTTTGCAACAGTATGTTAAGTAGCATATTGTATACAGATCATCAAGACTGAGTATTAAATTGAGAGCTTTGGGAGGACTAGAAAATAATAATATTTTCACATAATAACATTAAAGCCTTATGGTATAATGGCAAGCATTCGTAACAGACATGATAGTGGTACTTTTGAATTATCATAAAGGTAAATTAATGATTGTTAAAGTTTCTATCCCACATGTATTTCAGGAGGGAAAAAAGTGTATCCCTGCCATATATAGTAATGTATTACTTGAGGACCTATAGTTATTATTTTTAATATGGCATAATTATCAATTTGAGTTTTCACCAAGCAGAATAAGCTTGTGAATTTATGTGAAGTTATGAAATAGAATTCAGAAACTTAAATGCTAACTTTAAAAACAATCACTTGCATAAATTTTCACTAAGTTAACTCAAGTCATTTATTTGGGATACATTTTTCCCACTGTACAAATGTGAAATGCAATAAATATTAATTTATTTACTCCTATGTGTGCTTAGTGTGAGAGTAAAGTGGTTAAAAAAATTATAGGTGAGTAGTTAATGCACTTAGAAATAATGGTTATTTAAATGTAGACTGAATTACATTAAATGTTAATTATTTAAATGGTTATTTAAAATGTAGACTGAAAGGACTGATCTACAAGTTCTACACATAGTCACTTTGGTAGAAGAGATGACTTTCCTAAATTTCTGAGTAATACAGGTATGAGAAACTTAGAAAATAGATCTGGATTTGCTGAGTAACAGCAATCATACATTAATTAGAGGAAAGAAAAAAAATTAAGAGTGCCAGAGAATTCAGAATGCTAGATCTTGAGTCCACATAGAAGATTTTATAATTATTGGTGTCATCCTGTTGAGGTAGATGAAGCTTCTTTCTTGAAGGAAGAATCTGAGATGTGATCATTAACCTTGGACTTGTCTAACTGATGATTTTGTGTCAGGATACATGATACTGCTCTGGAAACCTGAAAGACTCTCTAGGGAGTCCGAAACTCTTAAATAGGAAATTGAAGGACTTTGTGGACTTTCAGGCAGTGGTGGTGTTTCATCTGTGCTACCAGTTCTACTTCTTGTTGAAAAAAAGGGATTTGTTTTTGTGGACTGGTCAAAGATACTGTAATAATGTTGAAGGTTTTTGGGTTGGGACAAAGTGGACCCAGGAGAGTTCAGGGAAGACCAGGGGGACTGTTTCCCTGGAGACTTGTTGATCTTGTGAAGTGACTTTAAACTAAGAATGGAGGTGAAGAAGGAAAAATGCCCTGGCAAAAATCATTAAATCATGTGTGACTTGTAAAGAAAGGTAACAGAGGAAGAAATAGCCAGAAAATAAAAAGATAAAAATAACTGGGAAGAAAGTTTTCCTTAGTCATAGAGGTGCCTAGAGTTGTTAAATGCAAAAAAAGTAAATACAGTGTTATAGGTAGGATGGAAGTAATGATCTAAGGTTGGGATTTTTTAACTTAACAAATTGCTAATTAAACACAGAAAGCTTAAAGTTTAATAATAATTATGCCTCGTTCTGCTTGTAAAGTGGTTTTGATCAAAAAAGTTTAACAAATACCATAGTAACTTTTTCAGAGAGTACATCATCTAGCACATGATAGTCATTTAATAAATGTTTGTTGACTGACTCCCTGAAAGATTTGTAAGGTAAAAATGGACTTTCTACAAGTGCTCAACTATAGAAAGACATGAAGTGGGCAAGATTTTGTGCTGTTGCTTCTGTAGTAGCAACTTTATAGTATTAATCATTTTAGTAGGAAGGAGGAAATAATGTTTATAATCTTTAACTTTTGGTCAAATATCTTTATTAATCATGTACAAATAAGTGTTAAAACCTTTCATACTAATCTTTTTATAGGTCAGTTGGTTAAGATGCTGCTTTATACAGAAGTCACCCGATATCTGGACTTCAAAGTAACCGAAGGAAGCTTTGTCTACAAGGGAGGGAAAATCTACAAAGTTCCTTCCACTGAGGCAGAAGCCTTGGCATCTAGTAAGTAGTTTTATTTTAAATCTTGTTTTCTCAAATTCCTAGAGTTGGAAGGGACCTTAGAGATAAGTCCAGCTCCCTCATCTTATAGATGATAAAACTGTCATGCAGAGAATTTAAAGGAGCTATCATTGTCTAGTAAGAATTTTATTTTGGGGCTGCTAGGTGGTGCAGTGGATAGAGCATTGGCCCTGAAGTCAGGAGGACCTGAGTTCAAATCCAGCCTCAGACCAAACACTTACTAGCTGTGTGACTCTGCGCAAGTCACTTAACCCCAGTTGCCTTTTAAAAAAAATTTTATTTTGTTATTGTTATATTATTTATTATTATTTATTTATTATGGACCAGTCACTGTGCTAAATCATGGAAATACAAAGAAAGGTAAAAACAGTCCCCTTCCCCTGTGAGCTTATGTCCTTATGAGTAAGCAACATGTAAATAATTAGGTACAGCAGAGTAGATGGAAGATATCTAGTAAGTGGCGAAGCTCAGACTATAACTCAGCTTCTGATTCCAGTGTTCTTTCCATTCAGTGAGTTTCTCCACTCCCCTTTCTCTACCTCCTCCCCCCGAAAAGAAGTCTTAATTTGGTGGGATTTGATGGGACTTAATGGTTTACCTTAATACAGGCCTGCACAGCATAAGACCTGTGGACTGCTTGTGGCCAACCAAACTATTTCAGGTGACCTACAAAACATGTCGAGGATGTAAAAGAAAATAAAGATGTAACGAGTGCTTTGGCCATGCCCTGCTCAACTCGCCTTCCGTTAGTACCTGTTGTGCCCATCATATAACTTGGCGGGTGGGTTGCCACTGGACGCTTTCTCCTGTTTGTCACATGACCCATAGCAGCCAACCATCGTCAGTCTGTCTCTAGTCTGAGAGGAGCGAGAGTCGTATCTTTTTGCTGTGTTTTCAGTCGTTACTGCATTGAACAGGGACAAAGTGAGTTCAGTCACACCATGCGCCACTGCAGCTGATGCCCACTGTGCAGTGAGCAGCAACAATATGAGGGCTTCTTCCCCCCCGCCTTGATGCACAGCAGCCTTCCAAGTTATATGGGTGTCTGGTGCCCTCTCCAACATCAGACATTCAGTTCATTGTTTCTTTGTATGTGGGTAGTTGCTGTGGAGATCTTTGATTCTACATGAACGTTTTTAGGGTGACTTTGTAAAATTTTATGATAAAAAGAAACGAAAGAGCAAATCAGAACACAGAGTGTTTAATCTGGAGTGGACAAATAGATCCTTGTTTACCTACATGAGAGACAAAATATTGTGCCTTGTTTGCTGAAAAGTAATAGCCGTTTGAAGGAATACAATCTTTGTCACCATTTTGAATCAAAACCCCTAACCCTTTTACCTGTTTGCCATTTTTCAGGGTCAGCAATTTGTTTAAATAGGTCAGGTTGACTTAATTGCATGCCATTCTTCCAGTTTAATACTGATAATGATCTTTATCTAATACTAATAAGCAAAATAAGTAAAAACATATATATAATGCTTTAAGCTTTGTAAAGCATTTTACGTACATTATGCTATTTGATAAGGGAAGGGTAACTATTACAATTTTATGAGTGAAGAAATGATGTCCTTGCCTTTGGCTGCTGAGTTAGGACTTGAGCTATGATCATTCTGACTCCAAGTCTAGCACTCTGGGAACTATAGCTAATTATGCCACATAGCTGCCTAAGGCATTGAGATATGATTTGGGAATGATTCCTATATCAGTAACATATTTTTTCCTTGTCTGTTCAACATTTTTTATGATGGTATTTGGTGTTTGCCATGTCCAATATTTTCTGACAATTTTGAAGAAAGTATTGATATTTTGGCATGAGGCATCTGTATAGTCTACACACCTTTGACTTTCATTTCTTACTCCTGACCCATGTTTTTCAACAATTTTTGCAGTCCTTCTGTAATGCTTTTGCAGTGAAGTCACTTGAACGTTAAATTATTTGTGATTTAATTTGCAAGGCCTTACCAGGTTTTTCATAGAATTTCTCTTTCTCCTTATCTTCTCCAATATTTTTGGCACATGAGCTGCATTTATTTTCATGGTGATCTTTTTGCAAATGTTTATCATAGGTGCTGCCAGATGAAATGATCAAATATGACACTGAATGATTTTTCCCCCTTCAGTGTATGATGAAATCAGCACTGCTAGTCCTTTGATTTCTACTCCAAAGAGAATACATGAATATTCTTTCCATTTAGCTGCAGCTTCCTTTCTATTTTATAGTTTCATTTACAGAGAATGTCAGTATTTATGATTTAGATCTCCATTAGCATGTCCACTGAGCCTTTTACTTTTCAGCCTTATAAGTTTTGTGACAAAAAAAAGAAACATCAGAATTTCACGGTTATTGATATTTATGGCTATGTAACTCCTGCCTAATAAATAGTTACTAACAATCTGACATTTTGTCATCTTAGTCCTTTTAAGATTATCCATAGCTGTAGACCCCATAAATTGGTTTCATATGAACTCATTGTCATTTGTTCCTTTCAAGTAGATCATTTGCTTATCATTTAAATCAGATTAGACTGTTAACTCATTTTGAGGTTCTTCTGATTTTCCTATTGAGATGCTTCTGGGCTGTTTTTTAAAAATTTAAATAAAATTTTAATGAAAAAAAGTTAATGCTATCCTCCCCTTTTGGAGATGTTTTTACTCTCTTATTTTTCATTCATCCTTATACTACCCAGTTCAAGTCCAGCCTCTTCCATAGGATTTGTGCACATCTAATTCAGTAAACATGCTTCTATTGTTTACAAGGGTAGTGAGGTGACTACAATATTGAGATATATGCAAAGTTTAGATAAGATATTGAACCTACAGCCTATTGGGGGAATGTGTTAATACATTGTTAACTATACTAAGTAGGAGCACATGTTTAAATGAATTAAGAGGCACCAGGAAAAAATGTTGGATAAGTTCTAAAGGGGAGAACAATGTGTTGAGCTCATTGGAGCTCTAGTCCAGTGTCACCAACTGTCTCTTGGGTGTTTCAAACTTTATGTCCTGGATAAGGATAAGGAAAGGAACTAGACATACACAGTCATCCCTTGACATTCTCAGTTATTTGATTATTCATTTGGTTATTAGACCATGGATAATTAAATGGGAATTTTTGGAGATTTGCAGCATACTGTGGAAAATCACAGATGATACACATGTATAAAGAAAAAAATTTAGTAAGTCATAAATGCATAAATACTGTGTGTTAATCTGTCTTATCATTTACCCATATCTTATACATAATTTATTATAAACGGTTGAATTTTGTCAAAAAGTTTCAGTGCATTAAAGCACTATGGACTATACACCCTCTTTGGAAACGTCTTTGTTTTATCCCTACCATCCAGACTCAGTAATTTTCTCCTGTAGTGAACTTTGTACCTTGTGCTTTTCTTAGGAGAAGGAAATCCTTGAAGTGGTTGCTGCAGCTACACGGACTGCGAAGACTCTACATAATATAATATATGAGAGATTGTGTAGGAATTGCTGTTTTTTTATGGGTGGTGTGTTGTTTTGCATATTAAATATCAGAATTATTAAAAATTAAGTTTTGGGGTGAGGGCCTAGGTTATTTGTGGTTTTTCACATTCACTGGGGTCCTGCGCCCCTAACCTCTGTGGAGGTTATAGGAATGTGGAGAGATGACTGATTTTGTTGCTGTTCCCAAATGAGGAAATTCCCTTTAGAAGGGAATCACAGTTTCCTAGAGAAGATCAGCACCTTCTCTGCAACTTTATTTTTGCGGGGGGAATAGGCAGTGGGGTTAAGTGACTTGCCCCGGGTCACACAGCTAGTAAGTGTCAAATGTCTGAGGTCATATTTGAACTCAGGTCCTAATGATTCCAGGGCTGGTGCTCTATCCATTGTGCCACCTAGCTACCCCTTTTGCAACTTTTAGCATAAAGAGTTGCCTAGAGTTTAAGTTCTTTGCCCAGGGTTAATGACAGAGTCAGTATGTATCACAGTCTAGATTAGAATCCAGATTGTCTTGGCCCTTTATCCAGCTTTCTGTCTGTCTGAAATTCAACATGTCCAAAACAAAAGTTGCCTTTGTTCCCCCCAAACCTACCCTCCTTTCAGACTTCCCTAATTTTGTTAAATGCACCAGTGTTCTTTCAGTCTCCCAGGTTTGTATCCTTAACAAACATTATTCTCCCTTATATTACATATCTTGTTATTTCTACCTTCACATCTCCCGCGTGTAGTCCTTATTCTACTTAAAGTCTCTATTTTCTCATCTCCTTCTGCCTAAATTACTGCAACCGCTTCATGATTGTTCTCCCTGCTTCAAATTTCTCCCTACTGTCCATCATACAGTTGCCAAAGTGACTTTCTTTAAGTGCAGATCTGACTCCTACTCAGTCAACTGGAGTGGTTCCCTAGTGCCTCTAGGATAAAATATTAACTCCTCTGATAAGCTTTTAAAGCCATTTACAATCTGACCTGAACCTGTCTTTCCAGACTCATTATACATTATACCTCCCACACTGTATGGTCAAGTCAAATTGTTCTTTTCTCCATGTCTTTATATTCATTTCTGGTTTCTGAGCCTTTGAAGTGTCCATTCCCCTGTGCATGGAATGCAGTCCCTCCTTCCCTCTGCTTCATAGAATCTCTTTCTTTGAAGATTCAGCTTAAGCACCACCTTCTAGATGGAGCCTTTAGTACAATGGAAAGAGTACTAGATTTGGAGTCAGAGGACCTGAGTTCAAATTCTGGTACTGCTATTCTATCCAGGTAACCTTGGGTGAATCACTTAAACTCTCTTAGCCTCAGTTCCTCAGCCATAAAATGAGGGTTTGGATTAGATTCATTCTAAGGTCTCTTCCATCTCTGTATGAATGATCTTGTGATCCTTGAAACTGCTAGTTCCTTTCTCCTTAACTACCATGGACTTATTCTCTTTATCTTTATTCTGTGTATATATGTATATGTGGGTAGGTATATACATACATATATAGAAATATAGGTTATAAATATTACTTTCTCATTAGAATGTAAGCTCCTTTATTGTTTCTTTGTATTTGTTTCCTGAGTGCCTAGGATTACCTGGCACATAGGTACTGGTACTTAATAAATTATGGTTGATTGTTTGAGGGGATCAGTGTGGTTTGTGGTTTGTCCTTCATTCTCAAAGAGGACCATGACATCAGGAAGATGATGCCATGGCATGCAAGTGAATTGGATTTAAGTGAGAGAAGACTCTACAAAGTCACCAGCCTCACTTTTTCCTCTGGAGCCTTTCTGGTCCAGAGGCCAGATATGGATCAGGACGACTGGAGATGGCCTGGGCGGGGGGGAGAGAAGAGCAGTGAGGGCTGCATGGAAAGGGCGGGAATATTTGGTTTGAGCTTAAAAATTGGGTAGGCAAATCCAGAAAGTAAAATACGACTTGAAATACAGCACAATTTTGTATCAGGTAGACAATATGCACGCATATAAGTAAGTTTCAAAATATAGAGAATACAAGTTAATTTTGCAGGGAATCACTGACAACTAAGGAAATTAGAAAAGGGACTCGGAAGGGACTATTTAGTCTGAACTTAAGGATTTGAGAGATTCTTAGAGACAAAGTTGCAGAAAGAGTGAATTCTAAGCATAGAGGATAGGTTGTGTGAAGACAAGATAGGGATGAATTATTATGTGGGGGGAAAAAAATGAAGAAGACAAATTTGGTTGGAAATATGTGTAGGGCAGTAACAAGTCTGGAAAGGTGGGTTGCCGCCTCATTGTGAAAGACTTTAAATGCTAAACAGAAGAGTTTGCATTTGATTGATAATAGAAAGGCTTTTGAACAAAGGACGTGGTCAGACTTGTTCTTTTGAAGTATCATTTGGTGGCTTTGTGGAGGATAGAAGACTGAGAAAAAGTGACCAGATATGTCAGAGAAGTGGCATGGAAATTCAGAGAAGAGAGAGTATATAGAATGAGGTAGTCTCCAATGTCAAATGTTGCAGATATGGCAAAAAGAATGAAGATTAAGAAAAGGCTGTTGTATTTAGCAGTTAAGACAATGCTGGTAACTGGAGAGAGCATTTTCATTTGAGTAATGAGGTCAGAAGCCAGATTGCAATATGAATGTACATGTAGTACCTAAAATGAAGCCCCCTTTGTTGTAATAGACAGCTCAGCATATAAAATCAACTATTATGGAAATGATAAAGTAAGGATCATATTCAATACACTTACCTTAACTTTCGTAATTAGGGATTTTTCAGATTTTCAAGAAAGCACTGGTTTTGCTAAAAGTATTCGTTAGGCAACAGCTATATTTGTGACTCTTTGATAAAACACTTTTTCAGTTGATGCAGTCTGATTTGTCTTGTAGTTATTTGCATCCTCAATTTACCTCCTTAACATATTGCAGACTAACTTGAACACTGTCTTAACTCATTTTTAATCACCCGTAGGCATTATAGCACAGTGCTGTCATAGTAGGCATTTAAAGATATTTTGCTTGAATTCTGCCACAACTTTGTGCCTTTCCCAGCTAGTCCCCTACAGAGGTAGAAAAAAATAGCAATCAGAGGCTCAGCAACAGCTCCCCTACTTTGTTATAAAATACAAATCTACCTTTTACTACTTAGGCATAACTCAAGTCTTAAATGTAGTCCAACCATTAGACTAATTTGGTTGTTTTTTAAAGCTTCAGTAGCTTAAAATAACTTGATGGATTATTAGAATGCTTATATAGATGGGAAGGTCTGAAAATGTTTCAAGTAGAGAGTAATAGTTAACAATGAATGATGTCTTGATTTTTTAACCTTTGAAATATCTTTATTTGAATTAGTGTTTGGACTAAAACTACCGTATATTTAAAAGGTTCAACCTAAAGACTATGTAGAAAGGCTTTTTTCACTTCACAGTTTTTTAAAGTAAATGACTAGTAGCACTTCAAGTGAATATAGTTTGGCTTGGGGGGGGGTGAGTGTGGGGAGAGTAACCTTAAGCTTCTTTTCTAATGATAATTGAGGGCATATAAGGGGGAAAGAAGTATACCAGAATTTCAGAATGTTGACCCCATGCTAGTTTTCTGATCTCAGTCAGGTGGTTCAACTGCCCAGTGTCCATTGCTAACAGAACACAGCAGCAATAGGATACTTTAGAGTATTTTTTTCAAGAAATATCTTTTGTTACTCTTTTACTTGACAGTGATATTTAAAGATGTACACTTCATACTTCACTAATTGATGGTGATTAAAGCTTACAAAGCTTTTATAATTCTATTTTATTTTATTTTTTTAGGCAATTGGGGTTAAGTGATTTGCCCAGGGTCACACAACTAGTAAGTGTCAAGTGTTTGATCTGAGGCTGGATTTGAATTTGGGTCCTCCTGACTCCAGGGCCGGTGCTCTATCCACTGTGCCACCTAGCTGCCCCTATAATTATATTTTAAATGAAAATTTATAATTATACTATAATTGCACCACTTCAGCTTTGGGAAGGTTTATGAAATTGAGGATGTATCACCACTCTTTCCAAAGTTCTTCCTATGGTATACCTTGAACATTGTACTGGACTTCTTATTCCCAATTATTGACTTGGTTCTTAAATGTTCCTTGCTACTCAACTCTTATGTTTTTTGTGTGTTTTTCTTCCGTGTGTGAATATGTTTAGGCCTGATGGGGCTGTTTGAGAAACGTCGGTTCAGGAAATTCTTAGTATATGTTGCCAACTTTGATGAAAAAGACTCCAGAACTTTTGAGGGTGTTGATCCTAGGAAGACTACAATGCGAGATGTGTACAAGAAGTTTGATTTGGGCCAAGATGTCATAGATTTCACTGGCCACGCCCTTGCCCTTTACAGAACTGATGAGTGAGTGTTTGGTCTTAATTTTGAAAAATCTCAAGATTTTCCCAAAAGGTCCCTTAATTCTAGAAGTCCTATAGATTAGCTCTTTCAATAAAACTTCTTCCATAACAGTTGAGATGAAATTGTAGAACCCTAATACTCATTTAAGGCTGGCCTTATTCTCTTCGAATAATGAAGACATATGAAGAGGTCTATGCAGGGCATATCTTTTAGCATATTTTTGTTTACTCCCTAGTTTTTCATTTGAGAGGCAGCATGGTGTCATGAGAGAGTTAGGAAAAACTTGGGTTTCAGTCCCATCTCTTAATACATACAGGCTGTGTGTCCCTGTGCAAATCAGTGCCCAAGGTGACTTCCTTGACAAGGCTTGAGTTGCCAGTCTGTCACTGAAGGGAATTTATTCAATCCAGAGTTCTTATACCATTGAAATCACAGATTTGTCTTCTTTTTCCTCCCAATGTTTGGAAACCTAGTCCAAATACAAAGTATAATTTAAATATAAGTCAATGCTACCCCTGCAACTGTCTTCATTTTATGTTTTATACTATTGTTTAAATATAGACTTTCTTTTTGGAGCCTTCTCTAAGTGCATTCTGTTCTCTGATATAGGCATTTTATTGAAGCAAATGCATTGTTATACCTTGAAGGTGACGTAAATCAGACACTTAGGAACAGTACAGTTGAAAAATGAAGATTAGTATTAGAAGTAAATAGCTATAAGTAAAACCCTTTACTAATTGTCATTACATTTTTTTTCAGCTATTTAGATCAGCCATGTTATGAAACCATCAACAGGATTAAACTTTATAGCGACTCTTTGGCAAGATATGGCAAGAGCCCATATCTTTATCCACTCTATGGCCTTGGAGAGCTGCCCCAAGGATTTGCAAGGTAAAAACCCATATTTCTGATGCCTGAGTATAAATGTGATCTTCTAATTAAGTTAAATTAGCTGATATTAATGTACACCATGGAAAACTTCATTGGGCTGTCACATGAACGTAGCCATCTCAGGAAGAGGGTATATGCTTATTTGATATCACTTGAGATATTTTTGGATTTACCATAATTCCATATGTTCCTTTCTTTTGAATATCCTTCACAATAGAAAATTTCTGTTCTTTATGAGTGAATTTGATCCTTGGGAAAAACATTGCCAAGTTTGGTGTTAACAGGGCGAGTAATAATATTTTGGTTCAGAAAGTATGACTATAGCACAGAATTGAATTTTCTTAAATGGCTTGGTCCTGAAATCAGTTCTAAAATTACTGTGGCATCATTGAATTAAATATGTGGCTGCCCAAAGTGACTTCTGCAGAAGTTTAATATTCATTTGGATATTTTAAGTTCCAAAACATTTTTTAGAAGGTCCCATTGCCACATGTTTATGATGACATAGAATTGTCACGTCTAATTTTGAATTATGGTATTCAATAATGTTTTTTTCTCCTAGAAGAAGGTGTCTTTTCATGAAAAAAAAATCTTGAAATATCAGATAAATTAAATATTTTCTGAATTTGCGGTATAAAACAGCAAAAAACAACAGTAAAGAAGGATTAAAGGACATTAGAGGCAAACAGAACTGGGAGTTGAGAGCTTTGGTTCCAGCCTTCTCTGCCATTTACTCCTTGTGTTGTCATTTTCAACAGGTTATTTAACCTCTTAGGACCTTAGTTTTCTTCTACGTAAAATGTGGGAGCTAGATCTCTCGCTTTAAGTTGAATTCTAAAGGTCAGAAGCACTAAAGATTTTTGGTAAAGCAGAATGCATATTACTAACAGGTCTCATGTTTACAGGAGCAATATTAATGGTCACTTCCTTTTGGCTTTGAACTGAGTGTTATCTTGCAAAAATTCAGTCAGTAATGTTTATTTGAGTATCCACTGTGTAGAAGACACAGGTTAAGTGAAAAATAAGAGAAAATGTATATTCTACCTTTTAGGAGCTTCACATCTAGTTGGGGAGACAGAAGATTAAGCAAGGTGGAAATAAGATTATCTTTCTTTTAAAAAAATTAAATACTATTTTATTTTCACACAATGATCAGCCTTTCACCTCCTTACTTTCCTCTCCCTACTCCCCATTTAGAACTCAAGAAAAACAAAACTACGCAAATGTGTATAGTCAAGCAAAACAAAATTTCTCATTGGTCATGTCTAAAAAAATAGGTCTCAATATCATTGTAACCTCAAAGAAAAAAAAAAGCAACCCCCAGAACCTTAAGTTGAACTTTGGTGACTGAATCAGACACAATATTTCTCATTTCCAGCTTTTAGACCACTTTAGTCCTTGGTAGTAATGTGCCAAAGATGATAGATATTTAGAATGAGTATTTCCCTTTACTTGTCATAAATGCTTTCTTACAGGGCCACTTGGAATTAACTTTATGTGGTGTGCATGTAAACTGTGATTATCAGATTTCCCTGGACCTAAGTTGCTGAGATGGGGGCTGTTGTTTTTGGCCTGGACCTATGATAACACATTATCTTTTCCCCTGAAACCTTCCTCTCTGTCTAGTTTTTACCCTGTTGCTGTCAAAGGTGTCACTATCCTTATAATCACTCAGCTCTGCAAGCTTGACTTCTTTTTCTCTCTTACTGCCCATATCCAATCTCTTGCCAACTCTTATCATTTTTACCTTTGTTACGTTGCACAAGTACCCCTTTCTCTCCACTGCCACTGCCACCACCCTGGTGTAGGCACACATCACCTCGCACAGCAGTGGCCTGCTGATAGGTCTTTCTGCCATACATCTCTCCTTACTCCAGTGCATCTTCCATTCAGCTGTCACAGTAATCTGATAAGTGTGACTATATCACTCCCTTATTCAGTCAACTCCCTGTTATCTTTAGAACCAAATATTAAATCATCTGTTTGGCTTTTAAAGCCCTTCATAACACTACTCCTTCCTACCTTTCCAGTCTTCTTATACCTTATTTTTACTAGCTGCCCTCCACACTTATAATTTTCTCCCTCCTTATCTTTGCTTCCTAATTTCCTTGGCTGTCTTCAAGTCCCACCTAAAATCCCACTTCTACAGGAAGCCTTTCCAGATCCCCATTTATTCCAGTGCTTTCCCAGTGTTGATTATTTTCCAGTTTATCCTGAATATAGCTTGTTTGCACTTAGTTTTTTTCTTATTTCTCTCATTAGACTGAACTCCTTGAGAGCAGGGACTATATTTTGCCTTTCTTTGTACTCCCAGGGCTTAGCACTTGTATCCCTGGAACATAGTAGATGTTTAATAAATGTTTATTGACTGTTGAATGATTTCATTGGTGCAGGAAGTTCCCAGTATGGAAAATTCCTCCACCAATGAATATCAGCAATTTGGTGGTTCTTAGTTGCCTGGGATTTTTTTTTCTAATTAAAAAACTCAGATGTATGAAATGAAGATGTCAAAAGCCAAATTTTATTGAAATATCCTAGCAGTTGTAATTTTTAATGCTTCTTAGCAATTATCCATCTTTTAAATAGTAGTTAAGTGCTTTCTTACAGGGTCACTTGGAATCAGCTTAATGTGCTTGCTATACACGTAAATCTTGATTACCAGACTTCCCTGAATTTAAGTTGAGATGAGAGCTAATTGTTTTTGGCCTGGACTTAGTGATAACTCATTACCTTTCCCCCTCAAACTCTCTTTTTCTAATTTCCCTATTACTGTTTGAGGGTACTGCCACTCTCGTAGGAAGCATCACTTCCATTAAGAAACTGTAGCATAACCGAAGAAACTTGTTTTTAGAAAACACCTTAGGAAGTTGTGTTTAAAAAAAAAAAAGCAACTTACACTACTTTTTCTAGCCTATCTTAAAGTACAGGGGCAGCAATCTTTGAATTATTAATTAAAAAGTTCTTAGCTTTTGAGATTACACAGCTTTAACTTGAGTTCTGCAATTGGTGCTCTTGATTTTTTAAATTTTCATTTTTTATTCTGAACTTAGACACCAAAAAAGAGAATTTCCATATACGTAGAACATGAAAAAGGATTGTAAAAGAAACGGAACTTCCAATTTCCTAGTGCTTGCTTTAAAAAAACAACAGCATTAATTCCACAAATTACTTTCAAAACTATCCTGCTTATCCGGGTTTCCTTCTGTTCCCTAATTGCCATTCTTTTTTGACGTCACTGTTTCTTACTTTCTTTCCCTCTTCCCCCATATTAAAAAATGAGTGGGGGGAAAAAACCTCCTCATAACAAATAAGAATTGTCAAGCAATTTCTATACTTCACCCATGAGCAAAAATATGTCTCATTTTTCACTTATTCATTGTAAGAAGGTATGAGTAGCATATATTATCAGTCTTCTGGAATCATGCTCGGTCATGGCGTTGTCTAGAGTTCTTAAGACTTTGTTTTGTTTTGTTTTTATAATGTGGTCTTTGTATAAATTGTTTTCTTACTTCACACTGCATTAGTTCATACTATCCAGGATTCTTTGAAATTATTTCTTTGATCATTTCTTATGGTTCAGTAATAGTCTGTTTACATTCATATATCACAGTTTGTTTAACTGTTCCCCATTTGATAGGCACAGTTTTAGATTCTAGCTTTTTGCTTTTTTTGTTTTACTTATAATTCTCTCATCAGGATTAGGAAGTGGGTTTTTGGGTAACTGTTCCCTCCCCAGCATTATCCCCTTTTAAGCCCCCATCTCCTCTTGAGTTTGATGAATTTCTACACCAAACTATTTTTATTCATCTTTCTTTTATCTGTTTCAGATAAGATGGGGTTCACCTGATGCCCACTCCACTCTGTCCTTTTCTCATGTTTGTGTACTCTTTTCTTCCCCACAATTCAGTTATGAGAAGTGACAGTGTATTTCTTTTATTTTCCCTTCTCTTTCAATCCTTTTCAAACTCTTGAGAACAGAAGCAGTATACCCCCAGGACCTCTCTTTTTCTTACTTAATTCCCTTTATTATCCTTTGAAAATGTTATGGTTCTGAAGGAATAGTTGTTTCTTCTGTCTCTGTTAGCACTAAATCATTACATGGAACTAATAAATTTACCTTTCTAGATTTCTCTGGATTTTTTTGTTTGTGTTTCATAATTCCTACTCAGTTCTGGTCTTTTCATCAAAAATATCCAAAAGTTCTCTATTCCACTAGTGGTTCCTGTAGGGTTATACTAAGGTTTTCAGGGTAAGTTATTCTTTTGCCTTTTGGAATATCATATTCCAAAATCTCCTATTTACAGTAGAAGCTTCCAGGTCCTGTCTGGGGCTCCTTGGCACTTCAGCTGCTTATTTCTGGCCACAGGAATATTTTTTCTTTGACACAGAAGCTCTGAATTTTGGTTATGTCATTCCTAGTCAATCAGTGGATTCTTTCTGTCTTTACCCTCTGGTTCTAATTGATCTGGTCAATTTTCATTTAATGGTTTCTTGAAATACAGTACCTGGGAGTTTTTTTTAAATCATAATTTGCAAGGAGTGCCGTGATCCTTAAATTATTTCTCCTTTACTTGTTTTCTAGGGCAGTTTTTGATACCAGACATCTTACCTTTTTTTTGGATTTTGTTCTAATATTTCTTGCTGACTCGTAGATCCTATTGATTTCTGTTCTCTTCTAGTTTTCAGGAAGTCCACTTCTTTGGTAAGGTTTATCACTTTTCTAAACTCTTCTTCCATTTTTTTTTCTCTAGAGCTTTTAATTTTTTTATTTCTAGCTTCATATATTCTAGATATTCAGGTAGTCCTTGTGGAAAAACTTCACTTTTCCTTTTGCATCTCTCTCTTTACAGTTTTTCTCCTTTGGGGAGCTCTCTAGACCTGAAATATTTTTTTTATACTAGTTGGTGTCTTCTTTGGTTTGCTCATCTCCAGCTTTAATTTTTTAAGGCTTTGTACTAGGGCCAGGCTTGGTTCCTTGCTGCGATTTTGGTTAGGGTGGTCAGCTTTGCATGATCTTGTGTGATTCCTCCCAATTTCTGTGCTTCTCTCCCCACCCTGATCTTTTAGATTTAGAGCACTGGATCTTCAGGGCCCTCTCTGATGTCTCAAGTTCAAGTGCTAGGTACCTCAGAGCCCCTGGGTGCCTGGGCTTTTCTGGTCTTAAGTGTTGCCAGGCCTCACTGGTCACCACCTACCACTGCTTCTTGAACTCTTGAGGTCCCTTTCCTGGGTGTTCCTCTGGAGTGGGGTAGGGAATTGCAAGCTATTTTGCTGACAACTGGGAGGTTATTAGCTTGTTTGCGTGAACCAAGTGCCTGTGCTGGCTTTGCTAGCAGCCCCTTTTCCTATTACCCCATGGCTGCTGACTGACTTTTTGTGTAGTTCTGGGGTAGAAGATATCACTTACTGTAGGTTTTCATTGGGTTTCTTGGTAATTGTTTGGTCTAGTGTGAATTTCAGCTTTTTGCTGGAGTTGATATGTGCCTGCTATGCAATCTGCTTGTTTACGCAGCCATTTTAGTTAAAAGTCTCTATAAACTTTTAAGTCAAAACGTTTCAGAAGGAAGTGAGTTGATGGAAGTTTCCTTCATAAAAGCTATGGAAAGTTTTTATCAGCTAGAACAATTCAAAATTTTACTGAGGTGTATTTTTTTCTTTTCATTTATAGGCTAAGTGCCATTTATGGAGGTACCTATATGTTGAACAAGCCAATTGAAGAAATCATTGTAAAAGATGGACAAGTGATTGGTGTAAAATCTGAAGGAGAGGTATAGTAGCTTTGGATTTGGGAAGATACCTAATATGTAACAAAATTTTATTATTTGTGAGTACTTATTATTGTAGGCCACATGTAATAGCTTCCAGATTGTGCAAGAAATCTATTTAACACCACTAATAATCATAATAGCTCAAATATATATAGCACTTGAACATTCTGTGTAGAAAATTATAACTATTTTGAATTAGTTAGGCACAAGCTATGGCACTTAAATAGTCAAATGATAATTAGTTTAATAGTTATCTTCAGTGTTAATTGCTGCTTTATGTCTCTAGAGTCATAAATTTTGTATGAACTTTAATATTGGTAAAGGTTCAAAGTACTTCTTTACACAAAGTATATTCTTGGCACCAAATTAGTTTTTGTCGGGTTTAGTTCTACTTTTATTTTAGATGTGTACTGGTGTAATGGAAAGCATAGAGATTTTCTGTATATTTTGACACTTGTAAATCATCTCTGGAATGTTATTTTCTCTTATTATTTAAGCATTTGCTCTCAAGGATCATATCCAGATAATTTCTGTTATTTCTTGGCTTAACTGAAGTCTGATTAAATATATTATGGAGGCTAGCCTGCCAGCTTGCAGCCAGACTAGGAATAATATGAAGGTTTAAGATTTTTCTCTTTTTGCCTTTCGTTCTTTGTATAATGTAGCTAACTCTTTTTAGAATTTAAAGTTTATAAGTGATGCTATAGGAAGCAAGAATCTGTATATTTGTTTATTAGCAACTGCTGAAATGCCATTTGAGTTATATACTTAAAAGTTTCCAGTTTGTGAGTAGAGATAGTGACTTCAGGGGTCAAAATTTTTGTTTATATAGTAAGTATGATACAGAATCCACATACATACTACATACTAGGGAAAATTGTTAAATTGTTGCCAGAATAGTGCAGTTGTATTGGAAAGAGCCCTAGACTGTAAGTCTGAAATCTGAAGAGGTGGAGTCTAGTGTCTCCCTAACCTTCCATCTCCTTCATCCCCCATCTGACTTTCCTACCATTCCTGTTACTGTCAAGGGAATCGCCCTCATCCCTGTCATGCGGGTTTCTGTCATACTTGACTCTTAACTTGCATTCGCCCCACGGTGAATATACAGTCTGTTGTCAAATGTTGTCATTTTTACCTTCACTTTCTATGTTCACAGTCACCATTGCACTATTGCAATAGCTTCACATTGGTTTTCTTGTCCCAAAAGCTTTCCTTATCTCAGTCCTCCATCCCTCCACTCAGCTGTCAGTGATTTTCCCAAAGTTCAGATCTGACCATGTCACACTACTCCTACTCGGTAAACTCTTAGTAGCAACTTGTTAACTCCAAGCTCAAATAGAAAATCCTTTTGCATTTAAATCCTGTCACAATCTGGCTCCTTCCTACATTTCCAGTTTTCTTACACATTACTTTCCTCCACTCTTAAGATATAGCTACAGTGGTTTACTTCTTGTTTCATGCCCAGGACACTATTTTTCAGCACAGTTGGCTGTTCTCCCCTGTCTAAAAGGCTATCCTTCTTCATCTCTGCTTCCCATCTTCCCTGGCTTCAGGACTCAGATCAAATTATATTTTCTTTAGGAAGCTTTTCTCAGTACTCTTCTAGTTCCAGCCATCTGAGATTACCTTCCATTTATACTGTATATATCTTGTCTGTATACAGTTATTTGCATGATTGAGAACAAAGACTATGTTTTTGCTTTTTTTTTTTTTGTATCCCCAGAACTTAGCACAAGCCCTGGGCCTACCTGACAAATGAACTGTTTTTTGCCTTTATTTCTATCTCTAGCACTTAGCACAGTGTCCGTCACATAGCAAATATTTAATAAATATATGTTTACTTGGCATTACTATGTATTCTAATAAATCCTTGTTCACTGATTTCCTTCTGGATTCATTTCCTCATTTGTAAAATAGAGGGATTAGACTAGATGACAACTTTTCACCCCTGCCAATTCCAGTTCCAGCTAATTCCCAGTTTATTTATCCAACTTTATGCACAATTAACTTTAACTTAGAAGTACTATTTTTTCCAAGAGAAGTTGTCATTGGGAACACTTTTTTAAAGTATAAACTAGTGCTTTACTATGCTGAACAATATACTAAATCAGTCTTTTGTTTCAGATTGCCCGTTGCAAGCAGCTCATCTGTGACCCTAGTTATGTAAAAGATAGAGTAAAAAAAGTAGGCCAGGTGATCAGAGTTATCTGTATCCTAAGCCATCCAATTAAGAACACCAATGATGCCAATTCGTGTCAGATCATCATTCCACAGAACCAGGTCAACCGGAAATCAGGTGAGTTGTAAAGATTGGAGAATGATTAAAAGGTGTTATTGTGGGGGATTTTTGTTTTGTTATGGTATATTTTAAACATGTTATAATGAAAAGAAATATAGTTTTTAACATTTGGAAGCTTTAAAAAGTTTTAGAATTGAACTCTACAAGTTAATTTTGTAGGGAGCTTAGTGTATTTATATCATTTCCAAACTAATGGGACAGAACCTTCTATGCCAGTTTTTGTCTCATTACTTGATTTTATTTATTTGTATGAAAATTATATTTGTCATTTACTAGCAGTTTTCCTTCTTACATGATAAAATCAGAACTTGAGACAAAAAGTGGATGGCATTACATCTGGCTTACCATTGATGTATGTTAAGTGGGAAATGTATTGATGTATAATGTGTAACATTGATGTATATGAGTGGGGAAAAAAAAAGAGAAAAAAGCAGTTAACCAGTAAGTTAATCAAGTCCCCACCTCTTCAAATTGGGGAGGGATCTCTGATTTGGGGTCCAGCTTGGTCACAATTCAGCATTCAGATTTGATTTTTGTTGCCCTTTCCATTACATTATTGTACCAGTCATTATAGATGTTGATTTTTTTATAGATGTTGTTTTACTGCCTATATTTCACTCTGCATCCATTCATATGTTGTTTGTAGTCTTCATAATCACTTTTTAAAACACAGTATTATTCCATTATATTCACGTGCCATTTATTTAGTTAGTACCCATTTGACAGGCACCTGCTTTTTTCCAGTTCTTTGCTAGTACAAAAAGTACCATAACTGATCTTTGACTGTTGGGGTGTATATGTTTAGCCCTAGACTCAAGTTCTAATCTCACTTCTACCCAAGACATTTTGGTTACTTTCTTACCAAAGTTGCAAGCAATTTATTATCCTAGACAATTGCTTGAGGCAGTTGAAGGAGTGAGCAGGTGACTTGCACTAGGTTTTTAAAAGAAATTTAACTTAGGGTACCAGTATGTACTTTTTTCCCTTGTGAGAAGTCACATGATTTTAGAGCTAGACAGACACTCTATTGCTTCTGTTAAGAAAAGACTCACAGAAATAGTGATTTTGCCCAAGATCACACAGCTAGATGTATAGGTGGGATGAGAATGTGAGCCTTGACTTCTGTTTCCTGTGCCTAAAATTTTGGCTCAGTAGATATAATCCTAGCCAAGAAGTTTAAGATGTAAATGATGAAAAAATATATGACTTAAAATGTATAAACACCCAACACTTAAAAATGTAGAAAATGAGCTTTGTTTGTTGTAGATATCTACGTTTGCATGATTTCTTCTGCACACAACGTGGCTGCACAAGGAAAGTATATTGCCATTGTTAGTACTACTGTGGAAACCAGAGAACCTGAGAAGGAAATCAGACCAGCATTAGAGCTTTTGGAGCCAATTGAACAGAAGTAAGTGTCTTATTTATAGATCGTTCCTATTGATTGAAAAGTAGGTCCTGGTTATTAATTCTGCCTTTCATCTTGGTTCCAGATGAGGTTGCTAAATAGAAATAGAGGATATCTAATTTTCTTGCCTTGAGTTTTTACCTTCATTAGAAAGGTACTGATTTTTCCAAAGCAAAACCTTCATTGAAGGCTTGTCACCATGTTTCCTCTTCAAGTATGTTGAATGTTTCTTGGGAAGTAATCTTGGGAGCACTGTACTGTACATTCAACAAACATTTAAGTGCCTGGGATAGATACAAAGATAAAGAAAATGTGTTCCTTACCTCATGCAATTTACATTCTGACCCATTCTCTTTCAGATTTGTTAGCATCAGTGATCTGTATATTCCAACTGATTTGGGAACAGAAAGTCAGGTTAGTATTGGGATAGGGGTTATGTAAATTTGGGTTTTCCCAGGAGACATTTCAAAATCATTTAAGTGTCTCAACTTTATTTCTCCAGATCTTCATTTCCCGCACTTATGATGCTACAACTCACTTTGAGACAACTTGTGACGATATTAAAGACATCTACAAGAGGATGACGGGGTCTGAGTTTGACTTTGAAGAAATGAAACGAAAGAAAAATGACATTTATGGGGAAGACTAATAGCAGTAATATGCTAATATCTAATTAGCAGAAATTTAAATTTGAGCTAATACAGAGTTATATCAAGAACCTAATGAACATTCTATGAAATCAATATTGTATGGCCTGCTTTTGTAATCACTTCTTTGAGATTGAAGAATACTATGTCCCTAAATGTTCCCCTCTCTCTCCCTTTTTAATATCATGTATTACCGTCTTTCTCCTGGGATGACTGTCCACAAATGACAGCTTGCTAACATTATGTTCAGTTTTCCTGAGTGTGCGTGTGTGCGTGTATGTGTGTTTTTAAGGGAAAGCACAGTTTAAACATACACTCACTGAGGCAGATAAATAGAACTTGATACAGTATTTGTATCTTTTAATACTATAGCCTTTTCAATTGTGTGCCTGTTGGGCTCGTGTTGATTTTGTAAGTTCACGTGCTCTCTGTTCTCTTAAACATTAAGAAAACTTTAAATTGGACACTCCAGTGTTGGGCAGCATCCCTCCAAGTCTCATAATCTTTGGTTTTTGTCTCATGTCAAGTATTATGACAGTGCCCAATTCCCATAGTCATTAGTTATGGGCATAGATTTCTAACTCAGCTTTATAGCTTTTGAAGCCATTTATATAATTTAGGAGAGGCCTGTGTACCTAAAAGCTCTTTTGGTGTTTTAATCTAATGAAACTGATAAAAAAAAAATAGTAGCAGGTGAGACTGAAAGTACCTTCTGTCCCCCCTGGCTTTTTGGATGGACCAAACCACAATGCAGTATTAATTTGACAGAGCCTCCAAGTCCGTGATGGCTCTAAATGATTTCTGTACTGCAAAGTAAAGCGAAATTCTGGAAACTGGTACCTGTTTATTGGTCTATTTGCTTCCCACTGTAACTAAAAGGTTGTCATTTGACCTGCTGTTTACCATATTAGACTTTTGCAAATAGCCTTCTCATGAACATACACACTAGAAATGTTTAAATTCGGAGGCAATAGAACTATTAAATTGTACCATCTATATAGTATTCTTTCATGTGACTCAGCATAATTTGATCACAAAATTCCTAAGCGGGCATCATTTGTCTTAAATGATAAACTAGGTTAGTTTACGGGGAAAGAGTCAACAGTCTTTTATGTGGAAGTTAGTTGTTTTGGTTTGCTTCCATGAGCTCTGTTGGAATGAATAGTTAAGGGAGGGAAGACTGACCTATGAACCTCCAAATTTCATGCTATTAGCTAAATACCACCTTAGGTAGGGAAAGCCTGCTTAAAGAGGATTGGTATGGAATGGGAATGCATAGTTACGAATGCTGGAGGGGAGAATTCGATTGCCAAGTACTGTGAGAAATCTGGGTAGTAAAGGCTCATTTATTTTATTTGGGCATAGTTGTGGTCAAAGGAATGCAGACTCAATGTGTTGATGATGGGTGGTAGGAAGAGCATGACATGGAAGCTGATATTGACTCTTCCCTTTTCCAGTATTCTTCCTCCTACCTCAAGGACTAGAGCTAACTCTGTTAGTTTTTTCTGTCAAAGTCACCAACTTCGAATTTTCTATCGAGGGATTAGTCTGCTCTTCACTCCCTGTAAGCCTAAAAGATGTAATACAGTGGTCCAAAGCCACTGTTTTATAATAAATCATTTGAGTCATGTCACGTAACAGCTACCCCAAGTTAAAAAGTACCTAGTAAATTCATGCAACTACAGTTGTGGAACATGAACAAAAATTTCCTTCTTAGGGTTAATGGCACTCAGGTGGCCAAATAATGGGCCAAAGATCAATGTTTCAGTGCTACAAGATTTCCTTTTAATTATGGAGGCAATGTGTTGGTTTCACATGTTCTGTGTAACCATGGGCAAGTCACCTCTCACAATCCTTGGAAGTAAAACAACATGAAACCTGGCAGTAGCCAGTATGGAATAGTGTGGCCAAAGAGTTAGTCTGGGTTTTATTGGCCAGTGGGTAGCTATATCCTAACTAGATACACCAGACCTGTGGCACAAAACACCCAAATCTGGATCCCTTGAAAAGCTAGTATTCTAGTTTAGTGTCTTAAATTACACAAAGTTTTTTATGGGAAATACGAAAAAATACTTATAAGGAGCAATTAACACCAACATTTAAAAGAAATTCCTAGTGGGGACTGTTATTTGTTTTTAAATGTATTATTAGTTATAAAATCATTCAGGGAAAAATATTTTATTTGTTTTTATTTTTTAAAAATTAGGTATAAAACCTATCCTCCAAATAGATACCACATATCTTATACAAAGTTTCTGTTTAGCTTCGAAGTGTTCAAAGACTACTATAGAAATTTTTGAAATACCATAAACATATGATTATTCCTCAGAATATTGATGTTGTAGTGAGCTATTTACAAAAACTGAACAGTTGCAAATAGGTACCATTTAGGAAAAAAAAATTCACGTAGTGTAGCAGTTGACTAATACATTTAGGTTAATTTTCTAGAAGATGGGTAAAGTGTATAAAAGAAATTTCAGACCATAACATGTACTACTTATGCCTTATTTACATAAACAACCATAAAAAATACACTCATTAAAATGGACTTTTACGTTGGTTCTCCAACTTGTAGTCTTTCAGTAACATTTTCCTATTTTTTTCATTTTAATAATGTATGCTACCAACTGTTAAAATGCATCCTGTTTAAAAACAATTTAAAACCCTATAATCCAAAGCTTAACAATTTAAGTCTACTGTGCCATTCTCAAATAAATCACATTTCAGCAGACTATATTGAAAGGAAAATGATCCTCTAAGGATATCTGTATTACAATGAAAAATTTATAGTGTAAGGAAGTGTGGACTGATTTCTTCCTGAAGGTGTCTGGGGTTGGGGAGGGCAGAATGTGAAGAGAGGGAATTATTTCATCGTTGTAGTTAGGTTTGGAAGTCATCAGAGCTGGCGCTTTCATCACCTAGACAGAGAAAATTCACAATGATTAATATAACTAAAACAAAGTGACCGAGAACTAGGCAGACAGATGCCCTTCTGTACCAAAGCAGATCATCCTAGAAATTCAGGTCAATGAAGACAACTATCATTGAGATAAAAACAAGCAATCTTGGACTGGTTATGGGGTTCTGGATATACTTTTGGCTTTCCTGTTCATGGTGAAAGCAACTGTTATTGGTTCCTCTAACTCCTTTTAATAACTGAGAAAATGTAATTGGGAGTTCATAAAAATTTACATCTATATTAAATACATGCCAGCAGAACGTAAGTTCATTCTAGTAGTTCCTACCAAACTTACAAGGTTTCAAATATAGGCTTAGTGACATAGCTAATCCACTTTCAGGGTCTGTCCATTTTCCAAGAACATTAGCTAGTCAAGTCACCACCAAATCAGTTACAGGAAAATGATGTAGGCTACATTTTCTTAAGACCTAACTCACAAAAGAGTTGCAATATGCATTTGTGGAAAAAGTATCTATACTAATTAGATCACAGGTTATTCAAGAACTGAAATATGGCTTATATGCTTGTTTTCACAATCCCTGTGAGACAGCAGAAGCATTTTTCTCCTGCAGATGAGGAATGAAATTATAAGCAAGTTGCTCAAGATTACATGGCAATTTTAACCAGATTTCTAAAATTGTTCTGGTTTTCTTAAGATGCGTATGTATGTATGTATGTATGTATGTATGTATGTATGTATGTATGTATGTATGTATATATGTGATAACTGATTTTTATGTTGTATGTTTATAATGATGTTTAATCATACAAGGTAGAAAAGGCTATGACAAAATTATACTCACCAATAGGTTGCTTTAAATGGAGCTGCTTTTTGTATAATTCCAGCAAAGTTATTTATATCAGTAACAAGGATTCCACTATTTTCAAATATTTCTCTGGAGGTATTGAGTTTATCTAGTTAAAAAAAAATCAACTAATTACTTGGTTGTCAAAAAGATCACTAATACAAATTCAGGTGCTACTTCCAGCCCCCTGCACCCCCTCTCTGTCCCCTGCCCGTCCCTTTCCCTTTCCCCAGTTAGTGATTGGAAGCAGCCTTATGGCTAAATGGCAGTAAACACAGGAATTCACCGGATACAAAATCCAAGAAAGCAGCTGCAGTAAAATGGCTCTATCTACAAATGCACGTTGTGGGTAAACAAGCTAAATGAAGACCGAGGCTTGGAATGAAACTCATGACAAGAGTATGGACTCTTAAAGGTTAAACCTTATTCAAACAAAACAACAGGTTAAAAGAGGACAGTTGCATTGTATGTTAAGATGAAAAAAATCCAGGAAGCAAAGGAGAGAAAGCCCTGAGATATAGATCAATGAAGGCTGTCAGTGTATATACAGATGAGAAATTTGGGAAACCACAAACCTGGCACAAAGGCATTGATAACACAGGACTTCAATTATCAGGCCATATGCTGGAATTCTGTCACATGCAGAACAGCTATTTCCTAACCTGTCTTTTTTTTTTTTAAAGAAGGCAATTAGGGTTAAGTGACTTGCCTAGGGTCACATAGCTAGTAAGTGTCAAGGATATGGTCTGAGACTGCATTTGAACTCAGGTTCTCCTGACTCCAGGGCTCTACCTACTGCACCACCTAGCTGCCCCCCTAACTTGTCTTAAAAACAATTTAAGGAACTGTGATTTGTAAGGTATGTAACTGAAGAGGCAGGTTAGGTTACTAGGATATTGAGGGAAGGGAGATGTGACCACCCTCAGAAGAGTTTATGATGGAGGAGAGGGAAGTGGGCAGAATCTGACAAGCACACTGTACTTAGAAGAACAAAGGGTTCAGAGAAAGGTTAAGTAGGATTCCATGGTTTAAAATTCTCCTGGGGAAGTTAGCCCAGAGAAATGGGAAATTCTTAAGAATTAAATTCTGAAGACACCAAGAGAATTCAGATGAGAAAAAAGTGTAGTTCAAGACCAATACTCGGCAACCAATTTACATTTTTAAAAGTATGAATACAAAAATAGCAGGTCTCTGGAGCGCTATACCTCAACATGTAAGTTGGGCAATGAAAAAACTAAGAAAAAACAATTTTTTAAAAGCTTTACTGGGAAGAAAAACATTCAAGGGACAGGACCACTTCCTGGTGAGGATGGGCTTAAAGGATACCGGGAAGAAAGGTCAATTCCTTCCTCTGAACTGCTGAAGAAAATTATCTTCAGACCAGAACAGACAGGACAACAACAACAAAACGGCAGATGGAGTGGAGATCAATGATGTCAACTTGGAAGAAAATGCCTCATGGTCAATAACTGTACCATTTTTGTTAATAATTTGGATTTATTCTCTTCTACAGAAGAAAAGACCTAGGAGAAGCAACAAAGCTTCAATTATATGAATAAAGCTGGTGAAACGGAAGAGATATGAATAGCTTTTTTTGGCCCCTGAGTATAAAGAGTAATGGGATAGAAGCTGCAAAGAATCAGATTTAAGCTTGATACAATGAAAACTCTTAACAGTTTAAGTAATCCAAATGTGGAATAGTGCAGAGGGTTCTCCCCCTTCACAGTAAGTGTTCAAGCAAAGGATAGATGATCACTTGCCAGGTATACTGTACAATGGATTCTTTTGCCTGTATATGTTGGCCTAGATGTCTATTTTCTGATAGACATTCTTGAGAATGTTTGATTCAGACTCATGAGAAATACCACATTGAACTGCTCTAAAAATAAAATGGCAAACTTGGCAATATAGCAGAAGTAGTTCATTAAATGTAGTGAAATAAAAACTACCAAACTTAAATACAGCTACTGAAGAGCCATTAGCTTTATACAAACTAAAAATGGGCAATAACCTTATTTTTTATGTCACAGGATGTTACTGAACGTAACAGTTGATAAGCATTTATTTATGCCAATTAGTAATTAGTGTAAATACTACAAATATACATGGCCCACATAAACTTACAAACACTTGCTAAGTATTCTGGCATTCTAATAACTATAATGGGATGGTGAAAGGCAGATTTTAACCAGCTATTTACCTGTTAGATACACAGCAAACCTAGCATTGATGTGCAGAACTTGTAAGTTCAGTAGACATTTCAAATATTCAGATTTTGTCGATGACTTGGAATCACACTGGTGATAATGAAGCACTTCAATGATATTTGCACTCTGGTATGATTTCAATACTAAATTTTTGCTATGAGCAATTGAATCTACTCTGGATAAGACAGCAGAAATGTTAATTATTCAATTTAGCCAAGACAGAATATGTAACATATATATATATATATATATATAGTATATAACTATACATTCATTTTACATATTACATTTCTTAAGTATTTTTCTTATATATATATTCTAACAACATTACTAAACTGCCTCAGACATTTAAATTCCCAAATCACAATAACTACTCTTTGCTTTAAAGTTTACAAAATGATTTCCTCAAAATGACCCTGTGAGGAAAGTTGTTCAGTTAGTATTTGTTGTTGTTAAGTTGTTTTAGTTGTGTCAGACCCCCTGTGACCTCATATGGGACTTTCTTTGCAAAAATACTGCAGTGGGTTTGCCATTTCCTTCTCCAGCTCATTTTTAGAGATGAGGGGACTAAGGCAAACAGGGTTAAGTGACTTGCCCAGGGTCACACAGCTAGTAAGTGTTCTGAGGCCAAATTTGAACTCAGGTCTCCTGGACTCCAGGATGGCACTCTATCCACTGACCATGTGAGGCCTCTAAAAGTCAAGAGCTTTAAGAAGAGCAATGCTTCTAGCCCGGTGCCCTTGGCCATCGTCCTGGAAAGTGATAATAACTGTGTTAATACAGTCTGGCAACTGCGCTTGCTGGTGTCAAAGTTATAGTTACTGAAGAACCAGAAAGGAAAGTTTTGCCATCAATGTCCTTGGTATCCCAAAAGGTTCACTATCAGGAATTTAATGATTTTATTAAAGGAAATGACATTAAGGAGGAGGCACTGAAATCTGCTTTGCTGCTGTATCCTAAGGACCATGGGCTCTTTCCATCTGACCTGAAGTTGAACTTCCCATGTGTTGTCTCCCCCACTGGAGTTTGAGTTCCATGAGAACATGGACTCTTACTTTTCTATTTATATCCCTGGCATTTTGCACTTACTAAATGCATTTGTTTATTCATGTATGTCTGGCCAAAGCTTCAGGCTTCTCTCCAAAACTGTTCCAAGAGCCAAGCACAATTTGCTTCTGGGTGACAAAAAAAAACTGGGGTGGGGGGTGGGGAATGTGAGGGTAGTGGTGATGATGGCTTAGCAGAAATACTTGGTTACAGCAAAGGATTACTTGAAGAATGGGAAAAATTTATCTCCCAACCAGTGACATGTTTCAATTATTTTATAATGTTAAATAATTTAATTCTAATTGTTAAGAACACAGTACCAAGTGCTTGCAGAATTGTTTAATACTAGAGCTAGAAAGGAATACGTTTCTGTCCTTTAAGCAGGTCCACATGCAACCCATCTCTCTTATGAAATATATTCTGATTTCAATGACCTTTAAAGTACAGGTTTTGTTCTTCAGAAAGAGGCAGACACTTTCCAGCATTATTCCTATTGCTGAGGTTGTGGTAACATTCATATACCTTGGCA